TTGGAAACATCCAACCCAGGAAATACTACATATAGGAATATAGTTACTCCTCGACTTACGACCCACTCGACTTACGACCATCCGGACATACAACCGCATCAGCCAGATTGAATTTTTTTTTCAATATTTATTTTCACGTCCCGATTTAGTGATTGCACTGTGTACTGACAAATTTTTTTTTGTAATTCCCTTTAAAATGGCTGGCAAGTGTTTAAAAGTGAGAGTTCTGTGGTGCTGAGAAGAAAAGAGACACCCATTTTAGATTTTCTATGTATTTTTTTCATTTTCGATTTCATTTACCAATTAACGATTTCATTTAACTGGACTTGGGTCCCTAACCCCGTCTGAAGTCGGGGAGAGACTGTACTGTACAGTACTGTATTAACATTGAAACATGGCTACAAAGAAATAATTAACATATATTACAGATGTAATTGTCTAACAGTAATACAAACTCACAGACTTGTTTTTATTTATAAAAAGACATACCCTATGAATTTAATATTTAAATTTGTAAGTGAGAATGGTTACAATGTAGCGCTCATGCAATCCTAATCCAAACATAAGTTAAGTGTCTGCATACTTGCTATAAAAATACGAATCATGTTTCAAAACATATGAGGAACTTAACTGCAAAAGGTGCCAATTCCACTTTTAAGAATCAGCAAATATCAGCCATGTTTACCTGCTTGAATTTTCAAATTTTGCTAATTACAAAGAGTGTGTTTGTTTTTGTTTCAAAATTATAGCCACATATGGGACACAATCCAAGTCAATAATGTAAATTCTTGTCATGATTTTGGGACAGTACTTTGGAGTTGCAATAATTTGCAGAATACACATTCATGTTCTTAAATTCATGGATCCCTCTTATCATATCTCGTTTATTTAAATTTCTTGTTCAAATATTAAATGTACAGTAAGTCCTTGATATACAGAATCGTCTATATACAGATTTTTATTAACTTATGGAAATTTTATTTTATTTCAGTAGAATGTCGATATAACACTTGTAGATAGGTTCCAAGAGAGGTCATGAACCGGTTTCGGACTAAATCGAGTGTTGTTTCAAGGAATAATTTGGTTGGTACTTGAGAGAAACAAAATACTAAAAGGGTTGAGAGTCTGCTGGTGATGCACCTCAGCCCATCTCTCTAGAATAAACAAAATATTGTTTTTTGTGGTATTATGTTACAGCTTTTTAAATCAAATACAGCTAAAATTAAGGGTTGAAGGTTTGTTTACTGGCTGAAGATGGTGGGGGAAGAGGGGCAGGTGAGGATATATGTTTACAGTTGATGCCAAGGTTTAGTGGCTTATTTATACAGTGATCCCTAGGTTAACAAAGCCTTTTAGTTAACGAGATTTAGGTTAATTACCTTCCATGAGAATATTCAATTCGTTTACTTTAATTCTTAAATTTTTCCCAACTTGTTTTTGCCTGCTCACCAGCTTTAGTATTAGTCCACCAATACAATGTCGGTTTTTTGGTTTAGAATTCATTATCATTTGAGTAAATATCAAGAGGTTGTACTATTCAATAATTTTCCGTCTTATATTAAAATTTTTAGTCATTTAGCAATTATTTAACATAAATGAAGTACAGGAACTGGTTTAGACACCAACGCTCAACTTTTACCCAGGATGGCGTCGGTTTGTGTCTGCTCAGTGGAGGCTCTTGCTTGAGACTCTCTTGAACATATATAACTAGTTTTACGTTTTTCAGTATTGTACATTATTATTCATTCTGAAGTTTATTTACAAATTGACAATATATATCTTGTAGTGCAGTGTTGATTCAAGAAAATAATCTTGAGATTACACCAAGTGAACTAAAATTTTAGGTGGGGAAATGGCGGCATGAAGCATGGGGTGACTTCTCTTCCACCCCACTTTTTTCTCTTCTCCTCCACCCCATTCTAATTCCCATCTCTCAACCAGGGCTTTCTGTTGCACCTCAAAGTAAGTGTGCTTTTCCATTTATTTTTAGTTTGTATGTTGATTTTCGATGACTGAAACCAATTAAAATCCCATTGGAGCAATGGTTTTGATTAACGAAACGACCTTCTGGAGCAATTGTGTTAGCTATGAGGGACCACTGTATATGTCATGTAAATGACTTGAAGTTTTCTCTTATAAAATGTCACTGGACTTAAAGGGAGAATATAATTAACATTGCTGGGCTGTATAATATAGTGATTAATTTGAATATAAACACTTGTATAGTCTCATTTTGACATTTAAATTTTAGTTCTAATTTAAGCATTTTTTTTTATCTTATTGCAAAATATATGGCGTTTATATTCATTGTTGTAGTTCTCTTGCAGGATTCCAGTAATGCAAATTATATTCTCTAACTTTGTCTGTGACGTATATAAAGATAAAAGCTTTAAGCCTGACTTTCCAAAGCCTGGCTGGGAAGATGGGGGTGCTGGGAGGGAGGGAAAGAATGGGTGACGACATGTTTGACGGTTGGTCAAGGTCTAGTGAGTATTTATCTGTTTATTTATGTCCTTTTGTTAAGTTTATGTTTTTTGTTATAAAATGTCACTGGAAATGACCTGGGAGAATATGGTTTACAATTCTGGAATTCTTATAAGTTGGTGATTAATTTGAATATAAACATGTATAGTTTGCTATGACAAAAATTTTGGTAATCATATTTTGATTGCATGTACAGTATAGCTTTGCCCTTAGGACAGTGTAGTAAGCCCAGAAAACATTAGGCGTAAAATTTAAATATGATTCACAGACTGTCTCTTTAAAAATAGGAAAGGTTCAACTTTAAATTAAACTTTTGTCTAATATTGGGCGTCGCTTAAATCAATAATCTTAAATAAGCTTTAAATCAACGTTCTGTACCTTTTGAGGTTCGTTATACAATAAAAATTATTGCAGTTAAGGGAATTTGGGGGGAAAATGTAACTTTAAAGTAATATTTTCGTTAGCTGGGTCCCTCTTAGACTCTCTGATAGCAGGAATTGAAATTTGCTAAGAATTTTCCAGAAAATTCAAGGTTTGTGCATAGTGGGGGGTGAAGAAGGGGGTTTGAGAATTGCAATTAAATTCCAGGTAGCGATGTGTCCTCCTAATATTACTTATTAAGTAATTATTAGATGTTTTAATTGCCTGTATGTTGGCCTGACGAATTGGCTAGGAATTAACATACCTAGGTAGCATTTGCTGACGTCACATTCGAGCTATATCACAAAAACTGGTTTTTAGAAAAAAGCTTTTTCTGGTTCAAGAGATGATGTAAGGCGCAAATTTTGGAAATTCCGAGAAAATATTCCCGGAACCTGGAAAATTCCGCGAATGGGATTTTTCCCTAGTTGAAAGAGATTGTCTGTTTTAGAAATCTCTTATTTCCAAAAGTGCTCTGCACCAATTGTTCAATAACAGAGATATCACTTGTATATAAAATGCCCTGTAAGAAAAAATATAAATCATCCAAACTTAATTCAAATAGCACAATAAAAAATCATAGAAGCACCATAGATCAATACATCAGTTCTACCATTACTATCATCACTGCATATCATTTACCCATGAGTTGGTGGCCTCCATGCCTCGGAGACCCAAGTGTGTGATCAATGCATTGAAGTTCCTACACAATAAACAGTACAGTACTAGTTAAATTAAATCTCTGAATATCTTCTTTCTTTCCATGAAATAAATTCATATCTATCTAAACAAATTTCTGTATTCAGGATTTATATATGATTAGTTTATACAGGTATCTGTCATTTAGCATATTTGGACATTTCCTGAAAAACAGATTGCTAAGTGAAATGATCGCTAAGTGAACAGAAATAAGAAATAATATCCCAAACAAGGGATAATATCTGTGGAAATGACACGTAATTGTGTAGTGAGTCACCGACTGGCTTCTCGCCACCCAGTAGCTTTCTGAAATGGTGAGGCTGAGCTGTGAGCTACGTTATTGTTCAACTTGTAATTTTGGGTAGATATACGTAATTTTCTTAATTTCTTTTTATCTGTTACATACGTCCCTTCCTCTCTCCTTACTTTCATCCTTTCCTCTGATGGGCGCACAAAAACTGTTCCCTGTACTGTCTATATTATCAATATGTTAACTAAATTTCAGAATGACCAATAATTTTAATATAAAATATGCAGAAATATTCAAGATACAGTGGGGTATGCTATAACGAACGGATCCTACTACGAATATTCCTATAACGAACGGTTTTATCAATTGAGAATGCTATAACGAACGAAACTCCTACAACGAACATTATTTAAAAAAAAAAAAAATTTTTTTTATAATTTATTGTTTTTTTTATTACAAATATTAATGATATTCTTTATCAGGGGTTTTAGATGCATATTTATGCTTTTACAATTTTACAATTATATTACATTTTCAGTGTTAAGTGGTTTGGTTGTATTTGGGGGCCTGGAGCAGTTAATCCTACTTGACGAATATGCCTCTTGAACAAGGTTCTAGAACCAATTAGATTCGTTATAGCATACTTACTATACCAACTTTCTTGATATTTACTTCACTGAAACGAATGTAAACATAGAACCAATTACTGTATTGGCGGACTAGCCGATCAGTTGATCAGCAAATGCGAAAATGTGTTTGTCGTAAGGATTTCGTTAATCGAAGTTTTGTTCATGTCGAACTGAAAATCCTTATGGGAGCTAATTAGTTAACCAAAATTTCGTTAATCGAACCATTCGTTAACCAACGGACCAAAAAACAATGTTTTGTTTATTCTGGGAGATGGGCTGAAATGCATCTGGGTAGACTCTCAGTTTTTTTAGCATTTTGTGTTTCTCTCAAGTACCAAACTAATATTGTGAAACAACACTTCGATTTAGTGAGAATTTGGTTTAAAATGACCTCTCTTGTAACGTATCTCGTGTTATATCGGCGTTCTGTGAGAAAAACTCTCTCAAAGCCAAAAAAAATCCTTCATCCCGGAAATTTCGAATTTTCTGTGTGAGCATTCGGAGAAAAAATCCTCACCCCGGAATTTTCTGGTAAAGGAAAATTTTTTTCGGAATTTCTAGAAAATGCACCTGATTATCATCTCTCAAACCCGGAAAAAAATCCCCATCCCCGGAATGTTCCAGAATTTTCCACATATCGGGAAAAATTTATCTGAATTTTCGAATGTGCCCCTCGGAAAATTTCAATTCCGTCATCAGAGAGTTCTGGGTTTGAGGGATTCCGGCTCATGGAGATTTTACTGTATGAGATTTTCTGGACATGGAAAAGTTTGAATATTCTTTAACAGACAACTGTTTCCAAAACATTATTACTGTACTGTACAGTGAAACCTCTATATAAAAGACTTCTCTCTCCATATAATCCATTACATGGGGGTTTCACTTCTAATGGGCCCTCGATGTAATGAACTTTTATATCTATATAGTACTGTACTATAATTAGTTTAGATGGAGGCTTCACATCTAATAGTTCCTCGATATAACGGACTTTCCTCTCCATGTAGTCTGTAAAATAGAGGTTTCACTGTACATACATGCATATTTTTCACTGGGTGTTTAAGAAGTACCAAAGATTTGCTTCTACTTAGAAAGACATATCTAAGTTTCTAACACACACTAGTCAAATATAGAATAATCTTTAACTTCTCTCATAATTATCTAGTACGGTACATGACCTACTACATTAGAAATCGGTTACAAATAACAGTATTGTGTGTTTAACATAAATGTATTGCCTGATATGGTACTGTACACATGTTGTAAATATAAATATTGTATTGTTTTAGTCTAACTTGACAGATGCCAGCTGTGATATGCATTTATACCTCTTACAGTTGTGTGTTTTCATACTCCTCATCATTTTCGAACTTCTCCCTGGAATAAAATTTCAGGATAACTAAGGGACTTGAAACATTCACATTAACCTTTATTTTTTTATCAATATCATACTGTACACTACATCAGAAAGAGGCACTAAAAAGTTAATTATATTGTTGGTACAGTTACTGTATTTCTAAATTCTGCAAACATCTTTCATAATCAACAATGAACAAAAGTGTTTCTGTTGCAAAATATTAGAAAGGCAAACATAATCCTCTTGCATTCATTTTACAAATCAATGGGAAAAAGACACTTTCTGCTTTAGTTACTGGTATCTCCTAGACTCATGAATATTGCCTACAGCCTCTCCAGTTAAATAAAACTTTCCCTCATCATGTCATTTAAAAACAAAACCTCAGTTTTCATTCACATATCATTTCTATACTTGAAATTAAAATAATTCCCAACAAAATCAGCATCTGATCATCAAGAGCACTTCTCTGTCTCTCAAATTGTAACTTATCTCTCTCAGGGTCTTCATATGTAACATGGATATAAAAGTTAAGTGTTAACAACTTAATTAACAACAACAAAAAAGTAAGCTGGCCTTTACATTAAAATTTCTCCAAATATGCAATTTGGCTCCACATCATTTCCTCACTTGCCGTACAATTTTAGCTTCTCAAGAGAATTGAAGCTATTTTTCACCAAATTTTAGCAATAAATATTTTTTTTTTTAATTACGTACAGTAGTCCCTCACCAACCATGGATTTTCCATCTGATGGTTCAGGTATCCACAGTTTTTACTCTGTATACCATTCCTCCAAACACAGCATTGAATTTTCCCTCTGTGCTCCAATTTACGGTATTCATCCATGCAGCATCCGGTCTCCCATCACACTATCAGTTTTGTAATCTCGTACTGTGTAGATGTACTTTACAGCACTATACATTGGGTATTAAATTACGTATTTTCTACCGTAATAACATTGATTTTGCCTTTACTTTATGGCCCCTAAGTGTGCACTGAGTGTTAGTGATGAAGGCGAGAAGAAAGTGAAAAGGGCAAGGAATGTAATGACTCTAAGAAAGTTGAAGTGCTTTATAGATTTAGATTAGCACAAGGTGAGAGCAGTGGGATGCGCCATGGGGGTAAATGAATTCTTGATTTGTATGATTAAGAAAAGTGAGGCTTATTTAAAGGCTAGTGTTGCTGGTGGCAAATGATAAGGTGCAAAAGTAACATATGCCACACAATCATAATCTTGAAAAGATGGAAAAGATACTGAACATATGGATGGAAGGGCGAATCGGGTCGTGTTGCGTCTGTAACAAAGCGTGTTCCTTTTCGGGCCTTCGTGGTTGAGCGGCAGAAATTGGACAGTGATTACATAAGAACATCAAGATCGTCTTTGTAATGTGAAAGTGTAAATCGTTGTAGGATTTTTAATGTTAGGCGTAATTGTATTTTGAAAACTCAATCTCCGAGAGTTGGAGGTGTAGCCCAGGTCAGGAGGCACAACCACAAAATCATTGCCATATGACAAAGCATAAATTGAATTTTTGGGTGGAGTCATGTGATAAAGAAACCCGGAGTGTAGTACTGTGCCTTTAGATAAATCAGTTCATAGTGTCATCAGTGACGCAGAAGAGGTTGTAAATAACAAAGTGAATACAAATTGGCAAGCAAGCTGGAAAGGCACCACTGCCAGCTGAAACCAAGTCGTGTTGTAGGTGCCACAGAGACTTTAAATTTTATTTTGTTTGTGTGTTTCTCATGGACTGAAACTGGCCTACAATACACCATTCACAGGGAGATACAGTGTACACAGTGATAGACAAAGAGAATACAGTAATACCCGATTTGCGGTCAATTGAACCCACAGAGATCAAGTGTGGCAGACGTAAATGGAATAACAGAACATATGGGATTAATTGAAATAGAGACTGGGCGACTCCCAAAATCCACTTTTTCCGACACAATACCTATGTTCTAGTAAAAATAACATATTAATTTTATGATGGTACGCGCACACAATTAATATTTAAGAGAAATACAGTCGCCACGTTAATGTCCATTCAAATAATGGACTCAACTCCTCCCCCCTCTTCCCGCTCACTGGCTCCTCCCTCTCTGAGAAATGTTTCGGTGAAAATACTAGATTTTAAGTAATAATAATACTTCAAACTAAACTAGGATAACATAATTGACATTGCTGGATTCCTTTCAAGACCAGGAATATTTTTAATATTATCGTCCATATATTTTGCAAAAAGATAACATATTTTGCTCTGAGTAAACAAAATTTACATTAGATCTAAAATTTGTATGTGCAATGCAATCATGATGATTTGATAAAATTATCATCAAATTGTAAAATTCAATATTAAATTATATTCTGGCAGTAATTTGTAATTTAATGAACTAAAACAAATATCTTCAGTAAATAAAAAAAACATTCTTCACACACTATCTGTCAATCAAAATACCCCACCTCGGCTTCTCTTTCCCACGCTGGGTCCTCCTCCCTCCTACCCCTACCCCCACCTTCCCTCCCTACCACAGAAATGTTTGAGTTAAAACAGTATATTTATTTTAGTAATAAATAATACCTCAGACTAAAGTTAGGATAATATAATTGACATTGCTGGATTCCTTGCAAGACCAGGAATATTTTGAATATACGTCATATATTTTGCAAAAAGATAACATATTTGCTCGGTAAAAAATTTACATTAGATCTAAAATTTGTATGTCTAATGAAATCTATGATGTTTATATTCAAAATGATCATCATTTTGTAAGAATTCCAGCAATGTAAATTATATTCTGACCAGTAATTTGTATGAATTATAATTAAATAAAAAATTATACTTCACCGTGTATCGGATAAATGCACGCATAAAGTGAGTTCGGTTCTGGCAGGGTTGCCTGTAAATGTAAGCGAAAAAAAAAAAGTAAAGCGGGGTATTAATGATTAGTGAGATAAGAATGGGAAAAAAAAAGAAAGACAGTGGGTGCTATAACGAATCTAATTGGTTCTAGAATTTGTTATAGCATTAGATTAAATATAGGATTAATCCGTTCCAGGCCCCAAATACAACCACTTAACACTGAAAAATATAATATAAAATTGTAAAATTGTAAAAAAGTGCATAAATATGCATCTAAACCCTGAAATAATGGTATCATTAATACTTGTAATAAAAAACAATAAATTAGTAAAAAAAAAATAAATAAAATAAATAAATAAATAAATAATGTTAGATTGTAGGAGTTTCGTTCGTTATAGCATTCTCAATTTTATAGGTAAAACCGTTAGTTATAGGAATATTCGGAGTAGGATCCGTTCGTTATAGCATACCCCACTGTATAAGGAAATACAAGTTAAAATAAAATATAAATAGAATCAAACAGCTAGCCAAGGAATGCCCCCAAAGAAAGTTTTATTTTATTTTTCTGTGTTTCTAAAGGACTGAGTGGGTGATATAAATCCATTATTCATAGCAAAATGCAGTGTACATAGAGATATCACATAAATACCGACACATGCCGAAGTGAACTGAAAAAAAAGAAAGAAAAACAGAAGACAACTCTAAAAGCAACAGGGGAGGTTAAAACCAGCAGAGGGCAGCCAAGTACTGTTTTTCTTCTCTTTATTATAAATAGGTGTAGATCTATACACAATCTGCACCTCCCAACAACAACCATGGGTGTTCCCAAGAGAAGATGCTAATAACCTACCTGTGTTTGAGGACAGACGGTTCGACACAGCACTAGCCCACATTGTGTTCACAGAAGAGGGTATTAGAAATAAACTGTCAAAGCTAAAGTTCCATAATTGTCCCGGCCCTGACATGGTGCATCCTAGAGTGCTAGAGTAGCAACAAGCTTGCCATGCCCCTGAAGATCCTTTTTTTGTAAATGCCTGGATGAACAAAAGGTTCCCAATGAATGGAAAGTGGCTTATGTGAGTCCTATCTTCAAGAAGGCGTCGTCACTCCACGAACAACTATAGACCGGTGAGCCTGACCAGCATAATATGTAAAATGCGAGTATTATCAGAGATGCGCGATGGAACATCTACTATAAAACAACCTTGTAAGGATTGCCAACACGGTTTTATGCGGGCGCTCCTGCGTAACACAATTTGCTCAAGGTATTGGATATTTGTACCCGATTCTGGAACAGGCGGTATTATGACAATATATACGTAGATGCCAAGGCTTCGACAGTGTACCCACTAAAGGCTGAAAATCAAACTGGAAGGTTACGAATTGGAAATGTCCTACCATGGATAGAAGACTTTCTCATGACCGCAAGCAGTGTGTGGTGATTAATGGCATGAAATCATCATCCGGATCTGTCTAGCGGCGTACCACGGGCAGTGTATTGGGCCGCTGTTGTTTGTTTGTTTCATAAATGACATGCCTGATGTTGTACACTCCTCCATACAAATGTTTGCCGATGATGCCAAGTTATTTAGGGAAATCAAGAACCAAGTGGACTGTGAAGAGCTGCAGAAGGATCTTTGGTAGCTCCAAGAATGTCGAAGAAATGGCTGCTGAGATTCAATGTCACAAAGTGTAGAAGGATGCACCTGGGGCACACCAGCTGATGAGAGGAGTATCATATGTCCCAACGGGATGAAGAAACTGCACTATTTGAGGATGAATGTGAGAAGGACCTAGGTGTGTATGTTGGCAATGAGCTGAAGTTCTCGGGCCATTGCGAGAAGAAGGTAAATCAGGCAAATAAATTATTAGGTCCTATAAGAAAGTAGTTCAGAGATCTAGACAATCCGTCCTCCGTAACGATCTTCAAGAGTCAAGTGCTTCCCCATCTGGTGCTGTCACCCTGTCTGGTCCCGAGATATGCAAGGGACTGTCAGTTGGTTGAAAATGTTTAAAGGAGGGCCACCAGACTGGTGCCTGCACTTCAGCACCTCAACTACCCTGAGAGATTGGGCGCCTGAACTTGCCTAGCTTATACTACAGGCGGGCAGGGAGGCGACCTAATTGAGGTGTATTTGCATCTCAGGGCACTACTCAGTTGAGTGTCCTACTTGGAGCTGGCGACACTCGCCCACAAAGGGTCACAGCTCAAGATTGAAGAAGCCCTAAGTCAAAAAACTGTGAGGGCAAACTTTTTCGGAGTGAGAGTTGTGAATTCTTGGAACAATCTACCAAAAAGTGTTGTGACGGCACAGAGTTTGAGCTCTTTCAAGACCAGACTTGACCAACACTGGAGCAGGTTCAGGTACATTCAGGAGCCGGTGCATGCCCGTGTTGCTAACAGTGCGTAACAGAGACAGGACCGATTGCCCAAGCAGCTAACGAGCTGATCATTTGGTGATGAGGATAAAAGAAAAGTAACGAACGTGACCATTAGCCTGGCGGCTAACAAGCCGATCAGTGGTGAAGAGGATAAAAGTAAGTAAAAGTAAATTTTATATGTATTTGACTCTAATATAATGAGATGTACAATGCACATATTGTTTTGCAAAGAAACAGGCAACTTAGTTAGGCTTTGATGAGTGTTATAGGCGGCTGTGGAACCCTAACCCCTATTTCCCATAAGCCTTCAGTCTTACCAACTGCAGATTTACCAACTGTGGGGTTTTCCAGGAACCTAACCCCCACAGGTGGTGAGGACTACTGTATAACAATGAGCTGCAAGAAATGAACAGTCAACTCAAACATGGTAGCTTGAAAATTTTAATATTGTTATGCCGAGAAATAAGGAATTGTACACTGGTAGTTTGCTGGCTGTACATATACAAAGTGAGAAGTTCAGTGGTAAAGACATACCCTGTGAACAGTTTTGTGATGACTTAGTGAATATTAAAAACTACAGTTCACAATTGTGTTTCTGTGACCTGGTGGAAATCTACCTGCCTGTTGTTTTGCCTGTACAGTGGTCCCTCGGTTAACGAACTCAATCCATTCCAGCAGGTTGTTCGTTAACCGAAACCATTGTTTCAATGGGTTTTTGGGTAATTGGTTCCAGCTCACCGAAAATTGCCTAAATTCAACAAAAAGGTAGAAAAGTTCACTTACTTTGAGGTGTGTATGTAGAAGGCTCCTGGATGATGATGATGATGGGAATTAGAATGGGGGTGGAGGAGAAGGAAGAAGAAGGCATTGGGGTGGAAGAGAAGTCACCCCATGGCACCATTCACCCATAAAATTTTAGTTCTCTTGGTGTATTTCAAGATTATTTTCTTTAAATCAACACTGCATTGCAATTATATATTGTCAATATGTAAAATATATTTTCAAAAAGTCCAATAATTTGCTTGGAAACACAGAAAAAACCCATTTAATTGAAGAGAGTCTCAAGCAAGATGTTACCTCCAGTGAAAACAGAGAGACTAACGCCTGTTTGCTGTGTTAAGGCTGGATGCCGCACATTAAACTAGTCACTTTACCTTCAATTATGTTCAATAATTGTTAAAATGACTTTAAAAATTGAATAGTATAAACTTCTTGATATTTACTAAAATAGTAAAATTTGCCCTAGAACCGATTAATGTATTCGTGGACTGATACTAAAGCTGGTACCCGGCCAGTGCAAGCGAAAACATGTTGAGGTCGGTTAAAAAGAAATTCGTTAACCGAATTTTTGTTCGTTAACCGAATTGAAGATTCTTATGGAAGGCAGTTCGTTAACCGAGGGATCACTGTACACTGATACCGATCGTCAGGAAATTACCGAGACTGGCGGGACAGGTAGTGGTAATTCGAAGAAACTTGTCATAAGTAAGCCCTTGTTAATCACGGGGGTTAGGTTCCAAATGTGAGCTCTTTCAAGACCAAACCTGACCAACACTGGAGCAGGTTCAAATACATTCAGGAGCCAGTGGATGCCCAGTACTTGCCAACAGTGCATAACAAAGACATGATTGACCAACCACTCAAGTGGCTAAAGAGCCAATCAATGGCGAAGAGGATAAAAGTAAAGTAAAAGTAAAAAATTATTTGAAAAAGCATTGACTAAATACAGTACTACTCACTGAGGAGGTGGCCTTTCTACAATGTGTGAGAGGGTGTCTGGTAGACTTGATGGTGTTCTTGGCAGTAGAAGTGTCAGTAAGCCAGCCAAAAACGTTGCTATTGCCCATATACTCAGCTCTGCATACTCATCTAGGTACAGTCCATATGAAGCCTAAAGAAGATAGATAAAATACTGTAAAAATATAGTACAGTAGTTTCAGAGCACATGTCATTATACATTATTTGCATCAAACCTCATTATCATTAGACATACAGTCAACCCTCGCTTTCGCGGGTCCCATTCCACGTTTCCCGCGTTTCTGGCGGTCACCTGCGAAACCGGAATGCTCACATTCCCGATGGTGTACCCTTTCTGTGAGGAGGCGGCTGGCAGCATGCCTTTTGGATCCAAACCTCCGCCATCTCCCGCCCTCCGCCATGTTGTGTAAGCTCTTGAGCATGGCTAAAAGTCAGATCATCAAACATTACCGGAGTTCTTCACCCACCACCTACAGCCGGAAGTAGGTGATAGTGATAATTATAGTGAGGATATGGACTTATATGGACTTTGAGGGTTTGAAAGAGGCCCTGCAAGCCTCTGTGGTGAATAGTGATACAATTGATACAAGTGATACAGGTGAGCCAATAATCTGCCCTCTGCCTCGGAACAACCCCCATCGTGTGCCCAGCCACCTTTTCTACTAATGTAAGTGTTAAAAACCTAAATTATTGATATTTCTCTTAATTATTAATTGTGTGTGCATACCATCATAAAATTAAGATAATATTTTTACTACAACATAGTTGTGTGTCGTCAAAAAAAAAGAGTTTGGGGTTGGCCGGTCTCTATTTCAATTAATCCTATATGTTATGTTGTTCACTTTACGCATTTCTCACTTTCCGCGGTACCCTGTGGGTTGAATTAACCGCGTAAAGTGAGGTGTGTACTTAAGATATATCAGTGACAAATAGATTAAACATTATCACTGAACTTTAAATCTTATACATGAATTAACTTAAGTGCATGCTCTGATACAGGGATCTGTTACCAATACAGTGTATGTATGGTAAGAAATTACTTTTTTTCTTTAACTTGTCCCTTGGCCACTTGTGTTATTGTACCTGCTATCTCAATAAGAATGACATGGTGCAATGCTGCAATAAATTTGTATAACTTTTCCAAGCCCTTTCCTGCTACACTGCAAGGTGGTCAATATCAAGAGCAATGCAATTCATCTGTCAATCACAATAATTTTGCCACCAAAAGGAAAATACAGCAATGAAATTTAAAAAAAAATCTTTAATCTGGATTACTTAATGAAAATAAAAGGTAGCCTTGACATTATCATCAGTTAAGAGGCAGGTAAGCCATAACCTTAATATATGTAGTTGCTATGAATTTGTCTTTGATTTTGACTAACAGATGTGATTCAACAAAATCAATAACATGTAAATTTAATACAGTAGAGCTTAGAAATGCAAACATGTTTTATTCCATTTCCCATACAGTACTTATATAATGAAATCTCCTCAAATAAGTAGAGTTAGTCTTGTCCATGGCCTTGAGATCACTAAGTGACTGTTTATATGTACAGTCGGGGTAAAAAGTCCTGTCGCCTCTCCTGCTGCGCCACGAACAACAAGATTCAGACTTTGAACCCAAAGCGGGAGACACTGATGATTTATTCTGTCCACGGGGCTTTGGATTCACGAGTCTGAATCTTGCGGTATGAGCAGCAGGAGTGTTGACAGGACTTTTAACCCCGACTTCATATATATTTTGAAATGCTTAGTTTACAGGGAAAGAGATTGATTTTGCCGCTTACAGCGGCTACTTTATTGTGCACCCCCACACTCATCCTGTGAGTGGTAGTGCAAAGGATTACAGAGTAGAGTTTACAACAGGTCATAATAATTAACCCCGTTGTCAGGATATTATGGCACTGAATGTTACACAGTATTTCAATTATACATTATTTGTTTAGTTCTATACATAAAGGGAAACTTATTCACAAATGAGTGAGTACAGGCGTGTGAGGCAGTATGTCTGGCCGCACACTTTGTGTTATTCACATTTGCGTGAGAAGTATTCAAGCACGTGTATTTGGTTCTATACATGAGAACTGATATAGTTACTAAGTGCAAAAAAGTGGATACAATCTTAATATGTCAGCTATCTTGCCATTAGAGATGAAGTATTGTGCCATTTCACACAAAGTGTGCTTGGACTTGTCCTAGAGGTTCTATCTTCACACAGTCGAGAGTTATACAGTACAGTGGTTTCTCGGTTAATGAACACAATTCGTTCCACATAGTCGTTCGTTAACCGAAAATTCTATTACCCGAATCCATTGTTTCAATGGGATACAAAATAAAAAAATATTGCAGTAAAGTACACTTAATTTAAGGTGTGTATGTAGAAGGTTCCTGGTTGATGGGAGTTAGAAGTGGGGGTGGAGGAGAAGGGAGAAGAGAAGGAAGTGGGGATGGAGAAGAAATCACCTTTCAGGGGACCCATGCTTGATGCAGTAATTTCACCAATAAAATTTTAAGTTCACTGGGTGTAATTCAAGATTATTTTATTTAAATCAACACTGCACTGTGCTATATATTATCAATATGTTAACTAAATTTCAGAATGACCAATAATTTTAGTGAAAAATGCAAAAATATTCAAGACCAAAAATATTCAAGACACCAACAAAATCGATGTTCACTCCACTGTCAACAAAGCCAAACTGACGCCTGGTGGCTGAGTCAAGCGGCTGATGGGTGCACAAAAAACTAGTTCCCTGTACTGCATATATAATCAATTTGTTAACTAAATTTTAAAATGACAAATAATTTTAATATAAAAAATGCAAAAATATTAAAGAGCACAACTTTCTTGATATTTACTCCACTGGAAACAAATGTAACATAGAACAGATTACTGAATTGGCAGACTAGCCCATCAGCTGATGCTCACAACAAAATGTGTTTTAAATGAGATTTAGTTAATCAAAGTTTTGTTAGTTAACCGAATTGAAGATCCTTATGGTAGGTAATTTTTAACGAGAAATTTCGTTAATCGATTCGTTAACCGAAGGACCACTATCTAAAAAAAAAAAATCTGTTTGGTTAAATGTATTTGTAAATTTGTCAATTATGAATACAATACTGTTTACACTCGGTATCTTTTATACCATACAGTATTACCCGCCTAAGCGGTTTCACTTATGTGTTTTATCATATAAGGTGCCTGCGAAATGAACTTTCACTTAACACGGTTTCCACATATCGGGTGAGTGTCCGTCGGAGCGCTATTTTAGATTTGCCCACCCGCCACCCTGCCTGACTGCCTATGTTATCTTTTTGCAAAATATATGACATTTATATTCAAAATATTCCTGGTCTTACAAGGAATCCAGCAATGTCAATTATATTATCCAATTTAGTTTGAGGTATTATTTATTAAAATTTAGTGGTTATCACACATCTCCTTGGGACGGTTGGTGGGGGTGGGGGAGGGAGGAACCGACCGACCATCTGTTACCCGTGAAGAATTATTTTTTTTATTAACTGAAGATATTTGTTTTGCTCATAAAATTCATACAAATTACCGGTCTGAATATAATTTACATTGCTGGAATTCTTATAATTTGATGATCATTTTGAATATAAACATCATATATTCATTAGACATACAATTTTAGATAAAATTTCTCAAATTAACTGTTATCTTTTGTGCAAAATATAAGGCATTTATATTCAAAATATTCCTGGTCTTACAAGGAATCCAGCAATGTCAATTATATTATCCTAACTTTAATCTGAGGTATTATTTAATACTAAATGTTAAAAACTCTGGAAGGAGGATTGGTGGGGGTGGGGGGAGGGTTGGAGACTGTGAGTTGGAAGGGGAGGCAAGGTGGGGTACTTTGATTGACAGATGAGTGTAGAGATTATTTTTTTTTTTTGAAGATATTTGTTTTAGCTCAATTCTACAATTCCCGGTCAGAATATAATTTACATTGCTGGAATTCTTATAATTTGGTGATCATTTTGAATATAAACATCATATATTTTGCATTAAACATACAAATTTTAGATAAAATTTTTCCTAGGTAACTATGTTATCTTTTGTGCAAAATATATGACATTTATATTCAAAATATTCCTGATCTTACAAGAATCCAGCAATGTCAATTGTATTATCTAACTTTAGTTTGAGGTATTATTTATTAAAATTTAGTGGTTTCCCCAAAAATTTCTCTGAGGGAAGAGCGGCAGTGTAGTGTGAGAGGGGGAGGGAGTTGAGTCCATTATTTGAATGGACATTAACTTCGACTGTATTTCTCTATTTCTCTTAAGTATTAATTGTGTGCATGTACCATCATAAAATTAAGATGTTATTTTTACTACAACATAGGTATGTGCCTTCAAAAAGTGGAGTTTGGGGGTGGGCGGTTTCTATTGGAATTAATCCCATATGTTCTGTTGTTCACTTAACGCGGGACCCTCTGGGTTCAATTGACCGCGTTAAGTGGGGTACAACTGTACTTTGAAATAATACACTACAGTACTTGCATTTATTGCATATACATACACAAAAGAGTGTACAGTACATGATTAAATAGTTTAAATAATATTGGCAGACAAAATCAGCATAGTGACATTCTAATCCACCAAAACATAATGCAAGAACCTCTTTCTCAGGTTGAAGAAGCCACAAGCTCAGAAAATTGTCTAGGCAAACTTTTTTGGAGTGAGAGTTGTGAAATCGAAAATAACTTGCCAGAAAGTGTTGTGAAGGCACCGAGTGTGATCTCATTTAAGACCAGACATGATCAAATCTGCACAAGCGGCTAACGAGCCAATCAGTAGTGAAGACGATAAAATTAAAAACAAAAACATTCTGGAGCCAGTACTTACCAACAGTGTGTAAGAGATGTGACTGAAGAGTTAAAGTAAAGTAAATTGAAAAAAGGCATCAAGCACAGTACAAGTACAACTACTGAATTCACTACCATAATCTCTCGTATCCTGGGGAAATGAATTCAGACCTTACATTGATTTACCCATACTTGAATCAATACAATTTACATAATCTTTAGTATAAAACTAAATGAAAAATTGATACTTACAAATATTGACATAATATCTAGATAGGCAAGAGCATGACCAAGTGTAGCCATAGAAAATGTTGATCCCAGCACAAATCCTCTGGAATGTGTAGGAGTTAGACGTATAACCCCAACACTCATCCACACACTAGCAAGGATGACAGCAGCATGGCCAAGACAGGAAAAGAAGACAAAACCTCCACAGGTTGAGACTGCAGCTGTTTATAAATTATTAATTTGTAATGCAAGTACTGTACAGTACACTACAGATAAAATATGGGAATATTTTTTAATAAACATTATTTCAAGTACTGTACTGTACTGCAATGTATAAACAAAACTTTTGAAAGTGAAATATACTTACCGGTTAACTAACCTTGTTTAAGCACTGGAGTAAGAAGAAGTGTTACAGAAAGGGCCGACATAAGTGATACCAAAGCCCACTTAACATGGAGGCGCGTAGCTGCCAATCCCAACAGCAACAATGATATAAATTCAACTGCTCCAAATGCTACTTGTCGATCTTCAAAACTGTGAATGAAGTATATATAAATATATAACACTACAGTATGTACGGTACAGTAACCTAAAAAATCTAGAGCTCAGAGATCTGAGTCCTTTTATTATCCAGAATATTTACTCAAGATTCCTGCTATTTCAGATGTCCGGAAAATCCTTAGAAATTTGGAAGGAGCAAGAGTTTCAAAGGGAGTGAAAGTCTTACTCCTTACTTGGTTTTTGTCATTTGAATGGTGGTAGGGATAAATATACAGTATACAGGTGTATTGGAATATGTGAGGTTCCATTGTATATGTACAGTACAATATAAAAATTTTGATGGTCAAATACCTTAAGATTTGTAAAAGAGCAGGATTCAATACATTGAGGAAATCTTGAAGCCCAAGCATTTCAATGTGTTATTAAAATTTCACATTAACAATGTCCTTTTATTTGGAATAAGAATAAGGTTCCCTTTATAACAATTCCTTGAAGAAATGTACAGTAATATGCAAAAGCAGAGAAATTGACCTTTGAAGAATAGAAACACTTTTCCTACAAAAAGGGAGGCCTTGTAAATGCTCATGAGAGATCAGAGACCTTTGCTGGAGAAAGCACACTGATATTGTACTGTACAACTATTTTTGGAGTTCATTTCTTTTATAAAAGCTCCTAAGCCATGTTTGAAAGGCTTCCAGTAGTATATGAAGTTTCTCCTTACAGTATTCTATGGTAGTAGGCAGTGACGTGCATCTTTTAACCTGTATCCTGTAACCTGGCCTGGCCCAGGGCAGATGTGAGAAGATTGTCATCCAATGTGACCCTGCCAAACATAGGTTTTCCCCAGGTACTCCGGTTTCCTCCTGTACTAACACTGTACAATATAGGCTATAACAATGCACCCAAGAACAGACCAACTGCCTAAACAGTTAGTAAGCTGGCAAGTGATGAAACAATGAAACTGATTGGCCTTCGGAGGTCTTTAATGGGCATTCATAGGCTGACTCCAATGGCTGATAAATATATAAAACACCTTACCTGTTGTATGGTGTAGGATCAAAGAGTTGACGAGCGCTAGCAGCACAGCCTAGCGCCAAACCACATATTAAGAACACAAAAAACACAAGGAAGAGCCGGCCCACATTTCACCAAAGGCTGCAAACTCTCACGCAACACATGACCAGAGCACTTATACTGGGCTAGTGACAGTTTGTGCTGAGGAAGGAGATATATTACACATAGTATAATTTCATTAACAAAGAAAACAGTGAAAGAATGCAAAAGAAGAGCTGATGAAAGGTGGGGAGAGGGGTTAACAGGCAGTCCTTAATCTACAAAAATCCAAATTCATGAGAAAAAAATTGTCCCATGTTTTGATTTATATCCAACGTAATGAAAATTGTTTTCACTTTTTTCATAATTTTTGAACATCAAAAGATACAAAGATCCTGGCACATGCATCTCAGGGCTTCCTGTACCAGACCTGGTCACTTTACAGGGAAACTTAAACTAAAAGCAATATACAGTTCTGTACTGTATTAAGATTCACTGGTTAACTGAGCTATGATTAAAATACATGTACCGGTAGTACTTTAGTTATCATGGCTCACAGGATTATGTGAAGCAGTAGCAGGAAGCTGACTCAAGATGTTTTGACTGGGAACATAGATATGTTTAGTATCTGATGTCAATGAAAAGAACATAATTAAAAAATAAATAAAAATTAAATGGATAAATTTAAAAAATTGTCTTCAGATGAAACCTCAGCAAAAACAATCCAATGAAAGCAAAGCATCTCAAAATGTAAATACTGTACTGTACTGCAATATACAGTGCAGTAGACTTCTGCAAAACAAGTACAGTAATACCCCGATATACGCAGTCAATTGAACCCGCGGAGGCCCGCGTAAAACGGGAAACGCGAGAATTGAACAACAGAACATGGGATTAATTGAAATAGAGACTGGGCCGACCCCCAAACTCCACTTTTTCCCAACACAATACGTACGCTAGAAAAATAACATCTTAACTCGATGATGGTATGCACACACAATTAATAATTAAGAGAAATATCAATAGAATTAGGTTTTTAACACTTACATTAGTAGAAAAGATGGCTGGGCACACGATGGGGTTGGTTCCAAGAGGGGATTATTGGCCCTCACTTGTATCAATTGTATCACTATCCACCACAGTGGCTTGCAGAGCCTCTTTGTCAAAGTCCATATAAGTCCATATCCTCACTATCACTATCACTGACTTGAGCCGGCTGTGGTGGGTGGTGGGTGAAGAACTCGGTAATGTTTTGATGACTGGGCGACCTTGTGCGCACCCTGCCCGCGCCGCTTCCAACATATGAGTAGATGCACAGTGTAAAGTGGGAATTCCGGTTCTGGCAGGGTACCGCGTAAATGTGGAGCAGCGTAAACGGGAACCGCGTAAATCGGGGTATTACTGTAATAAATTCCTTTGTGATGATAGAAATTGCTTTTAGAGCATTTAAAACTACTGTAATCACATTGCTGAATAAGTCTACAAACCTCTTGGTGAAGAGCTGACAGCTTATGCTTCATAGTAGGGTCAAAGGACATGTGATGTGACTTCTTAAGAATTACAGTGGCTTCATGGATACAGCCTCGACCTACAGCCCATCGTGCACTCTCTGGCAGCATTCTGAAAGTTCCTTATATTGATAAACCAAACAGTATCCTTAAAAAGTACACCACCAATAATTAGCTAATAAAAATCAAAGTTATCTTAAAACTCAAGGAACTGGGAATTGTAAAACATAATACAGTATCTCTTTTCCCATGGCCAAAATATAAGTGAAAAACCTTACAAAACTGTCCTTTGTTTTAAGCAAAAAACTCAAATATAACAATGTAACATAACAAATTATAAGGCTATCTTACATGATAAATATTACAAATACCAGGGTTGGTAGGCTCCGAGCCATCTGCTTATAAACCTGTGCTGGCACAAATGTCATGATCAGAGGGGTTCCAGCTCCAATTCCAATAGAATGGCCCAGTAACACCAGGCACACTGACCTTACGCACTCAGACTGTGTGCTTCCTTCTGTTGCTGGAAATGAGATGATAAATAAATGTTATTTTCTTTAATTATAAATTCCCTTTTCTTGGTAATGAATGGATTTAATCATGGCTACTCCCAAATTAGTTGAGAATGGAATATGGTTGACAGACAAATAGAGGCTAAACAGACATATTAGTATATGAAAATGACTAGAAACCTAATATTATACTGTACTGCAGGCATGGGCAACCCACGGTCCGTGGGCCACATGCAGCCTGAACCATGTCTTTGTGCAGCCCGTGGTGTGATTGAAAAATTCTATTTATTGTGGCCTGTGGATCAGGTAGCTGCAGCCAGCTTATGATGAGGAAAGCAATATTTATTAAAAAAAAATAGTCTTCACACACAATTCATTACAGTTTCATCACCTAAGAGTAAGTAATTATGAAAAGGGTAACAGTGAAATAAGTATACTGTAAATAGTCAGCAATATAAGCATTATGTTTCATTAGTAACCTGCTGTGTGACAGTGGGTTACTTGGCAATTAACTAAGGCTGGGTAAGTCCAAGTGAGGTCATGGGTATTGGTCACACCGCCTTTCATGCCTGGCTGTCTGTTCTACCTATTTATTCTTGTTTGATTAGGCATGCACCGTCTAACTCCTTATATAACCCATGGTTCTTATATGCGCACTCACACTAAATTAGCCTTAGTAGGAACTTAACCAGTCATGGCAAAATATCTACTGCATATACACTATGGGGGAAGATTCTAGTGGGAAACACCAAGGATTTTTAAGTGTAGAAGATAACCTAAAAATAGGAAGAATGCATGGTAATAGAGGAAACTGGATTGACATGGATATATTGTGACTGGGTTTTTGACTGGAAGTAGAGTATGGAAAGTGTCAACTTACTATTTCGTACAATATATAATAAGAGGAAGTATCATCTATGGAGGGTCATGTCTGGAAAAGGGAACTTTCAGTGGGAAAACACACCCAGCAAGAGTAGGGCAATTGTGGTAGCCTGGGCAGCAGCTCCTTCCAGAGTAACACAGAACACCACAGATTCAGGGTTAGGCGAGAAGGTTAAGAAATGACACCACGAAGTAAAGTCCCATCCACACCACAGCTGACCTCCGTCGTCCAAACACATCCATACATATTCCTGCTACCAGCACCACCATCACCCTCATCCCAACCAATACATTGCCGGGGAAGGAGTAAGGCTGCCACTTCTCTCGAGTACATTGTAGTACCTGCAGAAAATCATAAACTAAACATAAATGAATAATTTTATTTCATAAAGTGAGTATTTTCAACTATTAGCAACTTCAGCAGTTGAACACATTACAGTACTCCCTTTAATTGCACTACTTTACTGTACAGTATATATATTACAAAAGGAATGATTGGTATGTAATACAGAAGTATAGGCTACCTACCAAACGGTTGTCATCTGCTTGAGTTTCAGGTAGCAGCTCCATATTCTCACACCTGTACATCAATAAGTTGTAATTCAGGACAGTATACTGTACATTGTTATAAAATTTTTGGAATGTTGTACTAAATACAAAACCTGTCATTCCAAAG